TAGTGTTCCTGCTGTTGTGGTTAGCCTTGAATACAGACTAGCTTTAGTACATCCAGCTGTTCCTAAACATCGTCCCCTTGATGTTCCTCCTTTCTCCTCCCTTTGAATGAGTCTGAATGTGAAAAAGTGCCGACGGTTGGGCTCTGCAGAACCCCACCTTTCCTTCCTCTGCTGTCAGAAACTTGCTGACTTCACTGTGCCTTATCTGAAACAGGAAGCTGGAACCATTTCTTAACATGACCTAATGCTGTCATGTTATGATGAGTGTGTCAGTAGCACTGTATCAGTTTTACAGAATGCAGCTTCTGTGCGTTCACCTGTTGTCTGCTTTCATATGCTGCTTCTTCTTCAAACCTCTTAATGAAAGCTCACACTGTGTTTAATACACTTCTGTCATTCACATTTATAATTTTTTGTCTTTGTCTGGCTCATAATCATGGTTCATCATTGGAACTATAGTTCCCATAATGCTTAAGGTACAATATTCAGCTATTGGCTGTACAGTACCAAAGGATCTTCACACAACATCATGTGATTACTTTTGTACAGAAAACTTAAGAATGCAATGATTCTTGGTTCTGGAGCTACACAGTAAGAAGTGTCTCTTTCCATGATTTCCAAGCAACTCTCTGGTGGTTTGTTAATATTTACAGATTATGATGTCTTTAGAATGTTTTGAGTCATGCTGGATCTAAAGATACATCTGAAATCTGTGCGACTGTTGTGAATTCTAAAAAAGCAGTGTTACCGTTTAACCTCCCACTTTTCCTGTTGCTGCTTTTGAAAATAACTTGGTTTAAACCAAGTGTGTTTGTTGCTTTGGAAAGCGGAAACATTCTCAACAATGTTGCAAATAAACAATGGCAAGCCACTGAGTGCAGCAATGTTCCAGTAAAGCAACTCCCCATCCAACCCGGTATCACGGCAAGACGTGAACATGTGACGATTTGCTATGCTGGGAGACGTGAAGATGTCAAAATTTCGTCCCTTCAAACATGACAGTTACACAGTATTGTTAACACATGTTAACCAGTTGAGAAATAACCGGAAATACCAAGCAATGCTTGGTATTTCCGGTTATTTCTCAACTGGTTAACATGTGTTAACAATACTGTGTAACTGTCATGTTTGAAGGGACGAAATTTTGACATCTTCACGTCNACTTGTAGGTGAAATTGAATTTCAAATTGTAGATATAGCTACATGAAGCAGTAATATGAAAGAGGAACGGTTTTCCTTATGGTGCTGTCCGTTCTCATAGCTCTGTGAGGTCTGAGGGTTAAACGAGGTCCTGCTCCACCAGGGCCAGCCAAGTCCCGCCGGGCCTGGGGGGAAATTCTATAGCATGTCTGGCTTCTGAACAGGAAACCAAGCCCATGCAGACAGACGAGGGACAGACACATAGTACGTGTCTCCCTCTGAGAATCAGAAGACGTGGAGGGAGAGACACTGAGGAAAATATGTGTTGTGGATAATAAATGAACGTGATGAATCTACAGCTGAGCCCATTTTTGGAAACAAATCATCCACACTGTTCTCTTCTTATTACAGTATGTAATCAACTGAGATGATAGACAGCATTCTTGCAGCAATCATGTTATAACGTGCAATCTTTAAAATGTGCATGAAAAAACATCAAAAGTAAAACAGGTTGTGGATTGTTCTCCTTATCAGTGGTGTGTCTGTGCTCCTCTGCCTCTGTATCATCAGATAGCATATCCTCTCAGTGAGAGTTAACCAGCAGCCCACACTGATCCTGAAGCTGTGATTCGGCCATCATGACTGATTTTAAAGATGTGCTCCAGTCTGTGGAAACTAGAACAAACAGGTTTAGGTTTTCCAATGTCTCGCCTGCTTTTTGAACCGCAGACCAGTCAAAGCTGTGGTGATAATATCACATGTTTGATTTGCATGACTGGAATCTAGACAAATCTGAGTGTGAGCCTGTCATCTGAGCTGCTGAGGGTGGAAATCTGAATTTGTAGACTTGTCTGAAAATGTCAGTAGTTGCCGCAGAGGAACGAGTTTAAAAAGTCTGCTAGCATCCCAAGTGCTTAAAGGAACAGGAAATATAATATATCGCTTTCTTGCCAAAGAAGCAGATTGATCTGCTATAAGTCTTTTGAATATGAAGCGAAATGGACATAAGGAATAACAGCTAATGTTGAGGTTTTGTGTTCATCGTAAAGACTGGGGTTTGAACTGTGGGTTCTGATGGAGATTAAAGAACTATTGGATGTGTGTGAGTGCTTTTGGCTCCATAATAGGCACTCACCTTTCCCATTCCAGCGTAAGCGTGGCCCATCTTGACCACCAGAGGGCAGGGGGGGGGTGTGACCTGCAGACAGAACAACATCACATTAATGCTGGGTGTGATGCCAATGTAATAATAATAATAATAATGCATTTTATTTATATAGCGCTTTTCACAACTCAAAGACGCTTTACAGTATGAGGGAGGGTAGACAAACAAACAAGGATGTAGAGGAATAAGAAAGAAGAAAGAAACAAGGAAGAAACAAGGAATGTAGAACATGATACAGGTCCTAACTAAGCCAACAACAGGTCTGAGGTCGGATTTTGAATACATTTTTTCTTCCGTGAAGAGGCAGGACACACCACTGACACATTATCACATTATAAAGGTGAATTGTTAGTGTACAAACTGCTAATTAGTCATCTGCAGCAGCTACTGAGCAAAATATGAATTAATTTGGGATGTTTCTGACCTCCTCATATGGCAAAAATGTGCTCTCCTTTAATATCTGACACAAATATGGTTGCTAATGCTTAATGATATTATTTTTGACTGTTTGCTGTTTGAGTCTTGACAGCAAGTGTACAGTACAGATGGCTAATCTGTTTTTTGGGGCTGTAAACTCTGAGATACAACACTAAAACGTGCTGAGACATAACTACAAAACACAAAATACTATTTAGTAATGCACACCAAACATTGATGAGGCACTCTGGCCCTCAGGCCTTTTGAAAGATTTATAAGATCTAGCAAGATTGGTGTTTTTTGGCCCTGGGCCTTCTTTAAGATCTTGTTGAAGGCCTGAGGGCTGAAATCAAATGAGTGGGTTAGCATGAACAACACATTACACATCCAGTTTTAGAATAAATAAATAAATGTATGCAGCTTTAATTCAAATTTAAATGTGATCCTGACTATTACAAGTGGGAAGTTAAGGGATTCTCTGTGTTTGCACAGGATGTAAACACTCAGAGCAGTACTTGGTGTTCTAAATATACAGAGACACAGACATGTGGTAAACAGAACATTGAGAGAAAAATCTATTTCCTTTGCAGCTGATCTGGATGTGTACAAGACATTTGCAGAAGCGTGGCCTTGTAAAGAAACACAGTAGCTCTAATGCCATCCATCTGAAGCATAAGCTGCTCTTTTAGGAGGCATGCCGGGGTGATGGAGGAATGTGAGTTTATTACCCAATAGAAGACAACAGCTCATTGGGATAGGTTTGATAAACTCTGATAGGCACATGTTATTTCTCATGGTTACTAGGATTAAAGAAACATCAACAGATCAGACTTTCCACTTTCAGGAGCACTATCCCTGACGGGTAGTGATGGAAGAAGTACAGAACCTAATCTTAAGGAAGAGCAGCAATGTCAAATTGTAAAAAACATATACAGTAGGTCTCAAAATCTTACTTAAAGCTCACCTATTATGCTATATTTGAACAATATATTATAGGGCCATATCGATAAAAAACATGTCTTTGAAGTCTTTTGCTCAAAATACCAAACAGATCACCCATTCTAGCCATGCCTCATACCCCTCTACCCCTCTATTTCAGCCCTGTTAGAGAAGTGCTGATTCTGGGTCTGTAGCTACGGGGCCACGCCCCCTTTGGGGTACAGAGAGAAGGGTTACAGCAGAGAGAAGCAGATTCTCAGCTAAATGCTGCCGGGATAAGATGCCATATTATTTTATTATTCTTCCAAACCACATCAAGGATTATTTCTGAAACAGTATGGAGCTCAAATGCTTTTCTCTCTTGTGGGAATACCTTTTTTTATCTGGCTTCTTTACACATACTCTCTCAAGTGCAGGTTAGCTCTGAGTGTTAGCAATGCTTGCTAATGTAAACAAAGACCATATTACGTCCAAACACATTGCGCATTGTTTCTGATAGCGGCGTTTCTGATAGGGCCGTGGGCGTAAAGCCAGCCGACATTTCTGATATTATGTCATATCGGCAGCAAATCTGGATCAGCTCCGTTGTACCCCAGTTTTTAGAGATTTGGGTACGGAGGAAAAGAGAGAGGGTTTTATTTTCTGACACTTTGTGAGTCTCCTGACACACCTGGGACACATATTTATGTATAAAAGACATAAAAAAGTGCATTTTGCATGATAGGAGACCTTTAAGTAAAATAAAAACATATTGGCATCAAAATATACTTAAGTACAAAGTAAAAGTGCTCATTAAGCATCATATATTAATTGACTGTTTCTGATTATTGATGCCGTAATGTGTTCATCACAAAGGTGGAGCTCATTTACATTACTTTATATACTGCTGCTGGATATCATGACATATAATTATAAGTTAATGTTTTCTGATTAGTTTATTATATGTTGTATTATAATCTGACGCTATAACTAACTAAAGCTGTCAGATAAAGGAAGTGCAATAAAAATACAATATTGGCATCCAAAATGTAGTGGAATACTACACACCTCACAATAATGATTCTTCAGTGCAGTACTTGAGTATATGTTCTTCATTATTTCCATCACTTCTACTGATGTAATAACTTTGAGGCCCCGCCAGGTTACAGAGGGCTCTCAGGTCGGGTTTACAGCGATTAAGATAAGGAATGAAGAGTTATTTTACGATCAGTCATTGATGTTTTGATAGATACTGCAAATAAAACACCAAATAAAGAGTTAGCCATAGGCCATAATTCACCTGTAGTCTGTAATACATGAAGTAGAAAATCAGTCATTCTGCATGACACTGCTTTTGTAAGGTTCCATGGTGTAATGGTCAGCAATCTGGACTTTGAAAATCCAGTGATCCGAGTTCAAATCTCGGTGGAACCTGGTTATGTCTTTACAGGGATAGACGCATATATATATATATATATTTGACTGAGCCACTGCCGGACAAAAACATGTGTATTTGATTAATATTTTTACATTAAATGTTTACTTTAGTTATATATATATATATTAGTTATATATATATATATATATAACTAAAAACCCCCCACTCCCCACTAGTCCTAGTACTAGGAGGGGTATAAAGCAGAGAACAAATTGCACTGTGTGTGCAGTGTGCATATATGTGTGACCAATAAACAGAGTTTCATCCACAAATTCTTCTTCTTTAGTTTTGTTACTTTAAGTATATTTGGATGGATATATTTGGATGCTAATATTGTTGTACTTTTTACTTTTGAAATGCAGGGCTTTTACTTAAACAGTATTCCAACACTGATTCCCTAATTATTATCTAAGATAATGTAGATGTAAGAAGTTTGACACAGAGGCACGAGGCCTGTCCTGTCCTGTCCTGTCCTCTCATATAGAGAGGAAGGGAACGCCTAAACAGCTGCGACCATTTCAACCAACCCCCCCCACGGTTGACAGCACGGTGCACACTCATGTTGTGTTGCCGTCAGCTGGTTCCGCGCTGAGCCTTGATCCAACATGGAGCTGCTGGAGCTTCTGTTGACAGGTCTGACAGCGAGGGGGGGGCGACACGCTGCCAAGATACAGTGTACTCTCATTATCTCCATTATCACTTCACAAGAGGGGGGGGGGCCTGGATCAAGGAGTCCACTTTGTCATTCACTCCAGTGCTACACTGTATGTGAGCAGCATTTAGTCAACTCAAGTGAACTGGAAGAATATACATTCGGCTTCAATTCAAATCCCACGATTAGGATGATGGTGGTCATAGTGAATACTGTTTTATAGTTTTGCTTTTTAATCTGGTTTGAATTAAAACAATAACAACAAGTTAAAAGTTAAAATACTTTTTATGGACATATTTCAAATTCCCTGTCCAGGTCCAGTGTGGAAATATTATGGTTTAAAACAAAAAATGCTGACATTACATTTCAAGTGTGTTTTGAAGACCAAGACCTGCAGGAAAATCTTCAGGTTTACTTTGTGAAGTAGTTAAACATTTTGAATTGTAAATCTGTTTGGGAGCATGCACCAATGAGCAGAATATACACAGCCTTAGGGGAGCTCTGCTTATTATGGGATCTTCAGACCCTGTCCTGAAGAAGCATTGCTTCTGAATCTACTTTTAGAACCTTCCCTTCTTGAGTTATGAGCCTTAATGTATCATATTGTGAGATGAATGAATGTATTACATCTCCCACAAAGAAGATCTGGAGCCAGATTGCAGAATAGAAAAACAGTATACACTGTATAGTGAATATGAAGAATTTTGGAAAATAATGGAACTCATATGGCCGTGTTGTCTGAGAGATTTCACATCTATTATGTGTAGAATCAAAGTACTCAAACTACATTTTACTTTGCTTCATTTACAGTAAGAATTACAGAACTGGATCTGAATAAACATACAGGGTTGTGTTTAAGGATAACCGTTGAGATATTGGGGATCGCAAAGTCATCTACCCAGTTTTAATTAAATGTATGTTTTTTAATGATGAAGACCAGGATGTAATACAAAAATAGCTGAAGCGTGCAGTGAGGCAGCACAGACCCAGAGCCCCACCAGGGAAGAAAGCAGCCCCTGTGATGTCTATGGCTCATTATTTGATTGTTAAGGTAAAGCAACAACATATGTAAGGAACAGTCACCATGTCGTTTTTCATTTCCATAAAGATAGTGGACCTCCAAGAGACAGATGTAATTGAATGATCAAAAACGGAGCAGCAGAGAGGGATTGTTGGTACCACTGTAAATGTGACAAAAAGATAACTCCTTATGAATTTGTCTAATTTTTGGTTGGAAATAAATTGGCTTATCACAAATGAATTCATAATGAATGTGGTTGTATGTTTCACAAACACTAAGCAATGCAAGGCCAGTCAGAAGTTCGGGACCTCAGCAGTAACGTGTGTGTGTCATATGACGGGTGATAAGATGCCTGAGGGTTAGCGAGTATCTGAGAGGAGCAGCACATTGTGTGTGTGTGTGTGTGTGTGTGTGTGTGTGTGTGTGTGTGTGTGTGTGTGTGTGTGTGTGTGTGTGTGTGTGTGTGTGTGTGTGTGTGTGTGTGTGTGTGTGTGTGTGTTTGTTTGGGTGGAAGGGGCTCCAGCCTCCCACTCTGTCTGGACATATTCCTCCCAGTCATTCCCGTCACCGTGGCAATGACGGCAGACGCTGAACACGGAGGGGAGACGACCACATCCTCCGCCCGATGAACCGGAGCGGCAGACATGCGCTCACTTTTGTTTTCTGTGGGACTCTCAGAACATAAACATGAGATTGCCTCAGTTCAGGAATATTTACATCAGTTACATCACATGTAAGCCACAAAGAAAACCAGACTGTCAGCAGCTTCATAGTGGTTGTTCCAGGGTTTTAAGACCTGCTCGCACTATAAAGTGGCAAAGTGAATGTCATTTAGGAACATCTGGTTCGAGGAAGGTTTATTTAGAAGATGGGATTGTAGGGACTTCGAGCAAAGGGCATTTATAGTACTGTATCAAAGGACCTAACAACTAGTTAGAAACGGCAGCTAGGTCAGTAGTGCATCAGACTATAGCACTCCGCTCACCCCTCAATTGACAGTGTTGGACATGTAGGGCAATAGATGCATTGCTCGTATGACCAGGGTGTATAAAGAGGAGGTATGAAGAGCGTCACATTTTGCATGGACCAAAGAGTTGATCAAACCCAGGATTTTCAGTGTAGACCGCAGTTTGTGTCACATGGGAAACTCTAACTCTAATACATACCATCAATGACATTCCGCACATAGGTTACCTTCCAGAATGTGCTGGCATTGTGTACTTGAGTTACGTCACCTGCTAGAGATGCAACGACTGCCATTTTCTGGCATCATTCCTATTACCCCTTTATTGTGACTACAGGCAGTCCAAACAAATGACTACTACTTTGAGTGCGATGAAGGAGGCCATTGATAGTTAAAGATATTGCGATGTAAAATGGTTGCAGGATTGAGGTTTTAAATGTGCGGTCAACAGGAAGTTCCGCTTCCTGCTCCCCGCTCTCTTTCTTAAACCAAGCTGAGCAGGTGAGTGCAGCCAGGGTAAAAAACCACTAAATCCACGCCCACCACCAATAATACGTAACAAATACTCAATAATAAATAAAAGCACATAAACCTCATATTTGGCTCCTACAATAAAAGTCTTGTTTTTTTTTCTAATTGAAAATTGTAATCCAATGTCATGTTCATAATAAATCATGTAAAGACAGTGTTTCCCCTAGGATGGCATAGCAGCGGTGCTAAGGCACGTGGGCCCAGTATAATGTGAGCGCGTAGCGCGTGACATTTTTTAGTGTGTGCGCGTGCGAAGTGCGCCCCGCCAATTTGTTTCTATGTGTCTGCCAGCACAAGAAAGGCTCTTGAGGCCTAGTACCAGGGCCGGTTCTAGGCAATTTGCTGCCCTAGGCGAGATTTTAGGTAAGATGTTATATATAAAGAATAAATGAAAAATCTCTACAAAAGACAAATACACTACAAAAACAGAAACTTGACATAGGTAATATACGTCAAAATGGCTTCAAATGTATTCAGTATATATGAACATGTTTTAATTGGGGGGTGGACGTCACATCCTCTAGGGGGGTCCGGGGGTATGCGCCGCTGCTATTTGTATATAGGGGAAACACTGAAAGAACTAACATGAAATAACTGTGGTCAATGGGCCCTAACCAAGTGTCAGTAGGGGTGACACCCTAATAAACCAGGACAATGATAGTTGAAAAGGTTTGTTTTGTACATAATTGTACATTCATTCAGTAGAGTCACAGAGATAGCGTCCTTACTAGCTTGGTCACTCAGGACACAAGCCTGTTCACATAGTTTATTTAGAAGATGGGATTGCACCTTCAACTTCTGTTTAAAAACATGCGTGAAACTATTTTCCACCTAAAAAACACTTTATGGTAAGCCTTTATTTGACAGGGATTACTATTCTTTACAAGATTGTTAAACAAAACAGGTTTCCATTTAAAAGAAACTTGGTGGCCATTAGCCAACGTGAGCTCTCAGATGTGGAAATGTCGGTTAAAAACTTCAGCTCACTGTTTGGTCCCAGCACCACTGTGCCTTTTGTTCCCGGCAGAAATCTGTAAAAGGCATCCAGCGTGGTAAAGACGTTAAGAAGTCACATGTTAAAAAGCTATTTATATAGTTGTGGATTTCACCAGTCTAGGTTTTATTCTGCAACACACAGGCTCTCCTCATTTACAGTAAATGTGCCAGACGACCAGACCTGGCACTTGATGGAAATACTTCAGGGAAGCCCATCCACCATCCCTCGGACTGTCTGAGTGTGAGTCACTCAGGATTGGTGTTCAGGGTCTGAGGTGAATCTGCTTTCCTACCTACCAAACACCTCCATTTGCCATTCCAACCCCACACATCTTCATCCACAGCAGACCTGAAGAGTGCAGAGCCCCCTGTGCACGTTGAACATGGGAAATGCACCATGACAACAAAGAAAGTATCTATATGATATATTGATAAAGGTGGTTCACATACAGTTTTGGTATCAATCACAAACATCGCTCCATTAACAGATACGTTTGTGGTAAGTATTTCTTGCCAAATGTGTATGATCTCATGCAGTGTAAGAAATCATGTCAAACTATGTATTGTTTATAGTCACATTGAATATTCTGATTCCTTTTTTTCAAGTTTCTTTCAAACACTGTTCTCAACTTTAAATCCAAACAACATTTAGGGATTAACTGTATGATCTGATTATGTCTCAAAATCATATGATGTCAATAAAGCTTTAAGGGTTATAAATCCATAACTTTACTATGAGATAACTACAGCCTGTCAGTAAGTACTTTACAATAAACTGTCAAAAGTAGGTGGAGAAAAGCATGAAATGTATGTTTGGCTTGACATTTGATCA